TCACATGCTCCAGCATGCTTACCAGTCTCTGCGCAGGGGTAAGAGCCCCTGGCTAACAATAAAGAGGCATGCCAATTTCCCATTTGCTCTCACCCTGAAGTATATATCCCCTGGGGAACCTCATTAGAGGAAGGGTATCTGGGTCATTCCAGCATTCCTGAACACACTACCCTAAAAATAATAACAATACCACCCCAATGCCACCAGAACTCCTGCCCCCACACTGCCATTACCCAGCTCAGGGTTCTGCAGTGAACCAGATGTCAGATGAAGAGAGCAGAAAATCTCAAGTGGAAAAATCCCAAGGTGGTTACCAAAGATCCTCACAATTCCAATTCCAAACAACTGGATAGAAAACACCCACTAGAACGTACACTGGCCAGATGCATAACCTTTTTTTTTTTTTAAGTAAGAGCTCATTCTGAAGGTTAAAATACATTTATAAGCAGAATCATTGATTCTGTAGCTGGAACGTGTTATGGGATAGTTAAGAGTAGTCAGGCAGAGGGATAGTAATGTCATCATTCACACATCCAGGAAAACCAGCAGCATATTCAGGCTAAGGGAACAATTTCAGCTAACAGGCTCCTGGGAGCAAAAAGCTAAGAGCAAGCATATGCATTTTACTTCTGCTAATGCATTTAGGTTAGTTTGGCTATTCTTGAGTAAAACATTGGGTTAATAGAGGAAAGTGTTTCAATTTCACCCTAGGGAACCAGGCTAAGCACACCCCTCTTCAAGATGGTAATCTACAAAGTGGGGATAATAATACCTACTGAACATAATTGTAAAGATTAATAAAATGACATATGTAAAGCATCTAGTTCAGTTCCCAGCATGATTTAAGTGCTCAAAAAAACCCCCAGCTATTATTCTGCTAGTTATGTATTCTGTACGATTTTAACTCTATAAAAATGGGTACAACAAGGACTGGAAGAACATATATCAAAATATTAATAGGTGTTGCCTCTGAGTGATTAGTTATTCTTTGTTTAATACTTTTCTGTATTGCCTGATCTAAATAATTTTTATTTCTATAATCACCAAAAATACACATAATTTTGAAAAAAAAACTGTAACGATTTATTGCACACCATTTGCATGTTTATAAGCATGTAAGGCCCCTTTTTTAAGGATTCCATCTAATTTTCCCAACAAGCACTGAGGTAGCTATTTTCCACCTACATTTTAGAGAAGAAATTGAGCTATGTCAAGTTCAATGACTTGCCTGTGAGTTGTAAAACCAGGCTCTGCCTACAGGCCTGTGAACACCCAAGTCACTGCAACTGAGGGTTCTCAACTGGGGTGGGAGATGGGGTGGCGGTTAGAAATCTCAGCTCCTTTTTCATATTCCTTCTGTCCCTGTCTCTCTCTCACACATGCAACCTGCATGTGCATGTGCATGCGTGCACACGTCCCCACACACCTGCTGACACCCTGCCCTTCCCTAGTATACCATGTTGGATACGGAAGGGGACAAAAACCATCCTTGGGAATAGATGAAAGGAAGATAATGGACAAATTACACACAGAGTTACCCCTGAGCTGTGGACATAGCAGTTTGTGTTTGGTGTTTAGTGATGTCATGTACAGTAGCCAAGCAAATCCTCAAAGGACCTTGCATCTCAGAGAACTCAGCTATAGGTATGTGAGTGTCTGCCTAGCTAACAGAACTGCATTTTTCAGCTATGGATGGTCCCATGCACCAGGCACATCAGTCTCTGTGATACAGAAAGGCTGGTGAGATGTCCATAGGCCAGCTAAAACCATTTCCAGGCCTGAATGGGCTTCAAACACAGTTGCAGAAACACTCATTATGCTGCCAACCAGGCTGATTGCTCTGAATCTGAAGAAAATCAGATGTCTGTATTTTTCTTTCTCAAACTTCAAATTAATTACTCGCCTGTAATTTAGAGAAGGCTGTACAAATGCTGGGGTTCCTGCAGGGCATAAATGAATCAATAGCAGCTTATTCTGTGTTTGTAGCATCTTTATTCTTCTGGTCAAGTTTACAGCAAGTGCTTGTTTTTGAGAGTTGGATGTGTTCTCTTGCACACAAGCCTAACTGATATTAAAATTAATATCATGCTTGATCTTCACCGACTCCTCCAGCAGTATGTAAAAGGCTGTTTTGGTAGATGTCTCACTTGAAGGTCATCGATTTAGTAATGAAATGGCGCACTTGTATATTGTTTGAACTGGCATCATGAATTTTAGCATTGGTTGAAACTGTCTAGTCACCATGTGATGTCTCCTTCTTACTCCTAAGTTCCAGTTAGGTTTCTTCTCTGCGCCATTCTAACACCTGTTCGAATGGGACCCACAGTGGGAGAAGTTTTGCTTTACTTTGGGGAAGATCATATGGGTGATTTGAATTCATACACACCCAAAGGCCAGGGATAGACCAATTATCTGTTTAGAGCCTAACTCACTTTATCTGGTTATAAGCCAAGGAGAAAGGTGTGACATAGCAGGGATTTACAGGTGTGCATGAAGTGTGATTAAAAAATAAATGACCCTGGGCTGGCTGAGTGGCGCAATGGTTAAGAACTTGCTTGGGATGCCAGAGGGCCCCGGTTCGGATCCCACATATGAGGGCCAGTGACACTGCCCTCTACAGCTAAGATGCTGAACAACAGTTCAAC